TATTCTGTTCCTAGATTTCTTGATCATTTGTTTGGACTGCGGTCTTGGGATTATTTATTTTATTTCAGTGGAAACAGGCAGGACAATGGATTAGTTAGTCTGAGTCCTAGTTTTGTCCTGCTACATGTGAAGTAGGCACTATAGCCTTTGTGCTTAGTCCAGATAAGTGCTTGTTACACTGTGTGTGCATGTTCATTGCAAAAATGACATTGACCATCTAAATCAGATATGAATAATGATGCTCGTTGTGAACATGAATTCCATTTTGCTTTGTGCTTTTTATCTTTATTGTTGGTTGGGTGGTGGGAGGAAAAATGTTGACTTATTTGCTGTCATGTTATTAGGTGGTTACTATTAAAGGTGACAATCCAGATGCAGTAGTACCAGGTCTGATGGCTGCTGGGGAAGCTGCCTGTGCGTCAGTTCATGGTGCCAATAGGCTTGGTGCAAATTCTCTTCTGGACATCGTTGTTTTTGGTAGAGCTTGTGCAAATAGGGTTGCAGAAATTCAAAGGCCAGGCAAGATATTCTCCCCAGTTATATAAATAGATTTTTGCACTGAAATGGTTGCAATCAAAATGCATCCACATTCCATATTGCAGGAGCAAAACAGAAGCCTTTGGAGAATGATGCTGGTGGAAAGACAATTGCTTGGCTGGACAAACTCAGAAATTCAAATGGTTCATTACCGACTTCAAATATTCGATTAAATATGCAACGAGTAATGCAAAATAATGCTGCTGTGTTCCGCACACAGGAAACATTAGAAGAAGGTAATCATTTTTAAATCAAATATAGTCAATCCCCCTACCTTCCTTTCTTTTTCTTAATTATGCTTTTCAATGTCTCCATTTCTACGTGGCCCATACGCTGCTTTAGCCCTAATAAAAGTCATCCTAAAAGTAATCCCAGAGAGTGAGGATAACACCATTACATGCTGTTAAGGATGATGTGGCGTGCTGTCTTTGCACTTTTCTCTCCCCTCCTACTCATCATTTTCTTCTCTCATCATCTCTTTTCCTGAACACGCACTCTCTGGGATTGATTCCTCCATTGATCTTCTCCGATCTAGTGCTCTGCTGGTGAAGTCCAGCAATTGATGTTCTCTTCTTCTATAGAGGATTGTTTATTTCTTTGTCTGGTTCTGAATTTGATTCATGTTCCAGCGAAGACCAGAATAAAAAAATTTCCCTTCATTTTCATAGTTCCCAAAACAGAGCAGCATTGGTTTCTATTTCTGTTTATCTTATTTCTAGACTTTCAACTTCAGCTTGCGATTTTGTGCATGCACAACAATTGATTTCATAATAATCTTCCATTCACTGGGAATAAATCATTGTAGTGATGAGGGCAATAATTGGAAAAAAAAAACATTCCATTTTCCTAGGGAAGAAACTCCTAGGGTCTGTGGAACTTTGATTCTGAATTCCCCTATGATTTAAATCCGTTTTATCTGAAGACTGAGAAGGGGGGAATCTTCTGCACTCTGATTTTAATTTCCGATTGCCCATTGGAAACTACATTTTAGCTCAATTCAAAGCAAGGGTGAACAGATAGTCAACCAAGGAAAGAGTTTTGACCATTCTATATTTTGATCGCTTTTGGAACTTGTAGATTTATTTGCGTTAAAATGTACTTAAAAGTGTTAAATGTACCTTTTTTTTTTTTAAATCAACATAGAGTTTGGAACATTGTATATTTACCTTCTATCTCTAAGCTCCATCTGCTGATTGGCAGGTTGTGAATTAATTGATAAAGCATGGGAGAGTTTTCATGATGTAAAGTTGAAGGACCGTAGTCTCATATGGTAAAGCTTATTTTGCAAGGGTCACTAGAATCCCAAGTATTGCGATTCAAAACATTCTACTTGACAGCTTGTTTTACAGGAACTCTGACTTGATTGAGACTATTGAGCTGGAAAACCTTTTGATAAATGCCTCCATCACTATGCACTCGGCTGAAGCCAGGAAAGAGAGTAGAGGAGCACATGCCCGCGAGGACTTTACGGTCAGTGGTTTAGTTTCTATCTCTTTTCCAGATTTTCTTCAACGTGAAGAATAATGGTAGCTGAATATTTTGATTCTGCAGAAAAGAGAAGATGAGAATTGGTTGAAGCACACATTAGGGTAAGTCATCTTCAATTTCGTGTTAAATATATTAATTATCTTTGACAATAGAAGCCACTAATGGAGAATTCAGTCTCTCTCTTGCTCATGGGAACCTTGCTCCTCACTTTTTTCCAATACACTTGAGTTTATTAAAGAACAATTGAGCTGTTAAGCAGCCAATCTTTCAACGAATCAGACACTAAAGTGGAATGATGTTGATGTTATCTGGTGTTTATATTATCTTACAGATAATATGTAAGATGATATATGATTGAAAACCTGATCTGCATGTTGGTCCCTTCTGAGTTATTCTTGCTTGAATATCCTCAATCACTGCCTAGTCTCCAATGGTTACAGTTGTTTTGGTTGAATTGTAAATTTTTCACTATGATGAAATATTTCACTTTGAGCTGCGGGGATAAGAAGATTAGATATTGCAAACCATGCGGGAAAGTTGAACTTCTCGTCATTTTCAATTATTTTTCGGACTATTGGCGTGGTAGATGTTCTAGTCAGTCTCCATGAGATCATGCGCTTATAAATGGCCATGGCTACAGAGGATCCAAGTAGAAAGGGTTCTTTAGCATGTATTATGTGGTGTAACTTATATGCTTTTTGAATAAAATTATCCCGTTATTAAAAAAAAAATGGCCATAGCTACGGCGGAAATATTTTTTTAATGCCCATTTTTTGGTTGGGTTGAAATTTGTCAGGGTTTGCTGGGCTGGTTTGCATGATATACTACTTTCTTGTTTGTTTGTAGAATTTGTTGTACTGACTCTTTAAGAAGATATACGTTTGTACCAATGCATTGTTATGTTAACTAAGATTTGGGCATTTGATTTGCAGATATTGGGAGAATGAGAAGGTTCGCTTAGATTACAGGCCGGTGCACATGAATACATTGGATGCTGAGGTTGAATCATTCCCTCCTAAAGCTCGTGTGTATTAATATGTTCACTAAGTTATGGTGCACGGCTTATGCGGATTTTTAGAGTGGAATGAGTGGCAAGTGGAAATAAGAAAACATGCAATAAAGTGTTGCGGATGCCTGAATTTGCTGATAAATTGTAGCGTTCATCATGAACGTTGAACTGATTATTTCAAGGCATGCTTAATTACATTGTATTTGCATCTCGGAAAAATCGCAATACAATCGAAACAATTTATTTATTTTTGGTGGTGGAAAGCAACTGTTAGTTATGCTAATGAGTGCTCTACCGGTGTTGTATGCGGAGTTGCATTTTTTTCCCATTGGTCGCAGAAAATCAGTTTCATTATGTTCGTTTTATCATAATACCGATACTGATTACAGCGGATTCCCTTGAAGCTCTGGGGTATTATTGAACCGTAAGTCTCTATTTTTAATTTTTTTTTTTTCAGAAAACCTCGTTTATTATTTTTTAAAAGGTATGAATGTAAGTTTTTTTTTTGTTTTCTTTTTTAACTTTTTGGGGTAAAAAAGGGGCCAAAACCCAAACAGAAGAACCAAGGACCAACCACATCAAGAGTCCTGACACAATATTCGTGCAAACATGTTGCAATCTCTGAACTAAAAGTGTCTCGCGCAAACCTGCCAATCTGTGAGATTTCTCGCTGAAGAGATCTCAAGTCCCCAAGTGTCTTATGCTGCGACTGGAGCAGTCTTAACAGAAGCAGGGGAGTCATTTTATGGAAAACTAACAATTTCTTGAGCCCCAAGTGATTGCAAATCGCCAAAGCCTCAGACCAGACACAATGCCCCGGCCTGGCCTCCAAGGTTGTTGACAAAGCCTCCACTTCACTTGCCCTTTTATCCTCTGACAAGACCACCACAGCCAGGCAATCCCGGCTGTCCTCTATCAGTCCTATCTGCTTGGAGTTTTTAATCCAAACTCCAAGGCTTGCTTGACTCGTAACATGAATACTACTAAACTATTATCATTCTCCGTCTTCAAGGTGTGAGCACATTTTCATCTCATATATATATATATATATATATATATTCTGATCTAGATTTTCTTACACGGATTTTGCCATGACTTGGTATTTCAAAGAAAAAGACTCCAACAAATTTTGACTAGGTGCTTCGTGCGATTAATAAACCGGATCTGATCTGAACGCCTGCTGGCACTAATATCATCTACATAATATGGACTTTCTTTGTTTTTTTTTTTTCTTGGTTATGTGCCTAAATAGAACTTGGTGATGGTGATCCACGGCTTGGACCGAGAAATGTGAATATCATGGGCAATGTCTTAGCTGGGTAAAAGGGTCCAAGAACTTTTTTTTTTTTTCCCTTTTACCCGAATTGTTCAAAATGAATGAATTAAATATTCTTACATAAAAGAATGAGTTAAATATCAAATACAGTACTGTCTATCATGATAATTTTTCTTCTCGAAGTTTTTGTCTTTTTTCTCTAATTCTCAGTTATTTGATAACAAGATCAAATAGAAATCTTAAAAGAAATCAACGTGCAAAATAGTTGTGTATAAAAAAATAAATAAATACTAGTCGATTAAGAGCTATTCATAGAACATCAACAATAGTCATTCTGTCATTCATATGGCACATCACATGAGCCTTCTGCTTTTGATGTTCCGCACTTGTCCTGTAAACCACATGTCTATCATGGCACGTCACTTGTTCCGCACTTGTGTTATTTCTTAGAACTCTGAATCTGAACGCTAAAGCCTCAGCTCTTCAGGCCAAAAAAAAAAAAAAAACAAAGAAGAGAAAAAAGCAAAATGAAGATCAACTTCAATTTTCTTTTTTTAGTTTATTAATAGAACAGGATTCAGAAGCGAGTTACAAGTAAAGTAGGTATATATCATTTTCTCCTGCCCTATCACCAATGGCCACCTTCGCAAATCGCACAGCGAGGGAGGGGTTGAATTTCCTTTTGATCTGTCATCCGCATATCCATCTGATCTTCTTAATCTAAATACCAGTACTGGTGACATTCATCTGGTCGAGAAACGGTATGGAGCTAACATGCTTCACCGTTTCGACCAGATGACGCGCCATTCATTAGATTTTGTCAAAAGACGCGTGTCCACAAAAGCACACCACGTGTGAAGACATGAGAACGCTCGAGATTTTCCTGACGCTTGAACAACCAGACGCTGTCCCAATCCTCACCCTCCCATAATCCCATTTTGGGTGTCCAAACCCTAGGGGTTGTTCAATCGGTGCATATAAGTGCTCCACTTGGCCACAATGTTTTTAAGACGCGAAAAGATATGTTTCACGCTGTCAAGACTGTTCGAGCTTGTCCTTTCTCTTCCTTCCCCCGTTCTCCCAACTTTGATCGGAAAATTTCTCTCTTGCGGTTCCGGCAAACGCAATCCGTCTCTGTATACAGCCAACCCGATACCGATCGTGAGATGGACAAGCCTCCGCACGACCCTAATGAAACACCTGCGTGCGTTACTTTTTCTTTCTAATTGCATTTTCGATGCATCAGTGTCATAGTGTGTGTATTTGGCGCATGTTATACTTAACTCCGATCTTTTATCCTGTTTCGGATGACTTAATACATTTATATTTTTTTAAGGGATGTGATGTCTCATTCCTTTGGAGAAGGGTATGCTACAAGGTCAGATGAGGAAGGTTTTGGTGGGATTTACGGTGGAAACGAGTCAGCTTCAAAGATTGAGGCAGACAAGTTTATCCATGAAAATCACCCAGGTTCGTCTTTTTGTACGTACTGATATTTTGTTTTTTTTTTGGGGACAAAAGTACTTACGTACTGATTAAATATCAGCAAGAAGTTTAAAGCTTTTCTAAGTAAGGTTGGTTTCTTCTCTTTCTAAAATGATATTGGCTTTGGCGCTGATATTGTGTTGATCAATTTGATTTTATTTTGGGACAACGAAGCCTATGACAAGACGCAAGGGAGTGAGGTGAAGGAGAAGGAAAAAGCCAGGCACCAAACCAGCGCTAGTAACTAGATTATGATCATGTGCGCCCTTGGCTTGTTTACGTGCATCCTAATTACGAGCCCTATGTTGGTGCTCTTGACTATTCTCTTCTCTGTTTTGTCCTCTTTTTTCTTTTCTTTTTTTTTACCCCCTCTTGTAACTTGTAAGCATCGATTTTTCACGTTAGCAATTATCAAGCCTCTTCCAAGAGTTCCTGGAAATCTTTATCTGATAAGCAAGTAAGTTCTTTTATATTATTTTTTCTGATCGTCTCTTGGAATGAAAAAGATCATTCCAGTGAATTTTAATGCTTTCATCTTTGCCTCATGTTTTACTTTAAACGAAAGCGAAAATCACCTCAAAACCACTTAAAAGTTATATAGTCAAAATTTTAATGCTTTCATCTTTGCCTTACGTTTTATTTTTAACGAAAGGGAAAATCACTTCAAAGCCACTTAAAAGTTCTGTAGTCAAAATATGAAACTTCATGTCCTAGTTTAAACAGTTACTGTCTACTTTTCATGTCTCAGTTCTAACAATTTACTCAAGTTTATGAAGGCTGTGTATATTTTAATTAGAGCCTCGTAAGTTGTGCAGGTCTTGTGATCAATTTGGGCTGGTTTAAATTACTTGCAGTCGGTTCGGTCCTAACACCTTGAATTTGAACGAAGCTTTTTCATGTTAGCTCAAATTTCCAAATTATTATAAAACATTATTTTATTTTTTTGAGATAATTTTAATTTTTATCTTAAAAATTTTAAATTTTTCAAGTGAATTAACAAGAAATTGTCTATTTTTTTAAAAAAAATATTAAATTAACAAGAAAATTAGTTAGGGGCGTTAATTTTATAGTTAGACTTAAAATTAACAACATTATTTTATTTTATTTTTTCTTTTTGTGAGATAATTTTAATTTTTATCTTAAAATTTTTAAATTTTTCAAGTGAATTAGCGAGGAATTGTCTATTCCTCTTTAAAATATTAAATTAATAAGAAAATTAGTTAAGGATGTTAATTTTATAGTTAGATTTAAAATTAATAAGGAAATTAGCAAAGAAATTTAAATCCCTCTTTAAAATAAGGTATTAAAGTATTAGGTAATTAACTATAAGGTATTAAAGTATTAGGTAATTAACTAGAAAAATAGAGAGAGATTGTCATTCCTCTTTAAAATTAAATAAAAATAAAAATAAGGTATTAAAGAGGTAATTAGCTAGAAAAATAGAGAGAGATTATCATCTCTCTAAAATTAGATCATTAGCTTAATTAGCTAGGGATTTAGTGAGGGTGTCCCTACCTAATTATGAAAAAAAATTAAAATTTTGAAAATGACTCTTAATTAATTATATATTTAATTATCTTCATTTAAAAAATAAAAATCAAATTTAAAAATTAACTAAAATACTTATAATAAAATTATTTATATTTAATATTTGCTTTATTTTAAGGTCATTTTACTTAAAAAATAATATTTTTATTAAAAATATAATATAAAGAGTCATATAAATATAAATATTTTAAATATATTAGTAATTGAAAATAAAATATAATATGCATGTGTATTTTTATAATATATTATTTGATATATCTATATAATTAAATAATATATATTTGATTTTTTATATTTCAATTCAATTGAAAAAAAGGAGAATATAAGGCTTGGAGAAGGTAGAAGGTCAAGAGTTTAAGTAACTTGACATAAATATATTTCATATGATAATGAGTGGGTGATGTCACTAGTAGTGGATAACATGAGTTGTCATACAAATGGCAGATAATGAGGCACAGAATGGTGGGTGACATGACATTGGGTGACATGACATGACATAAGTTAACCCACATGTGATTGGTGAGGAGACGCCAGTGATGCAGCATTAGGTGGCCATTTTTAAATATAGACATGTTTAGCGAGAAATTAACATAAGAAAATGTATTTCATCATTAAATTTAATAAGATTGTTTCTTGCAACAAAATTAGCAAGGAATTTTGTAGAAATTTAGTGAGGCATGTATGTCATTTATCCCTCACTAAATTGATTTTTTTAGTAATGTGCTATACATAGGTGTCAAATGAATTGATAAAATATATAGAAATAAGTGATGCAATATTTTTCACAACTCATGAATATTTTGATTTATTAAAGAATATAAATAAATAAACATGTTAATATTGTTTTTAGTATGAATAAAAAATTAAAAGTTACCAAATATGCATGGGTTGGAATGATAAATTATGAAGAGTTTGTAGCAATATGGAAAAGGAAAATCCATAAGCTGTTACCTATGTCCTACAAGAAGAGGCATAAGTCATACTCAGTATCTATCTATCATTATATATAATTTTTTTATAAGGTTCTAGCTTTAGGGATAGTAAGTTAAACATACAATTTGCAATATAACTAATCTATTATTCAATGATTCATATTATTTGAATAAAAATCAGTAATTTGATTTCTCATAAGGAATTTCATTTCTCACTTTAATTCTATTTAATTATATAATTATTAAAGGGTTTGCTTGTTTTGTCAAAAAAAGAAAATAAAATTATTGGAATCTTACCAATTATTAGTCAAGCTTAAGTTAAAATTTTCAAATTGATACCAATGACTGCATAAAAAATTTGAAATCAATTTATCATATTTAAGTTTTATTTTTGATTTGTAGTATTAGGTTGTTGTTTTAGAGACAACAATTTTATTTCCAACTTTTCCCTTTCTCATTTGTAAATTTAAGCTTTTAATTCTCAATAAAAGAGAGACCACGGTGATACCAAACTTTTTAAAGAGGTATGTATGAACAAATAAAAATCTACTAGAGTATGTGATAGGCACACGAGCTTTGACAAACATACCTACTTGGAATTGAAATTCCACATTTGAGCAGTTATATCATTCATCTTCAATTTGATTAGAAGATTATTAACATAATTATCTTTTAAACATGTTTGTATAAGGTTGCACGCATAAGAAAGAAGGATTTAGCTTACACCTAATACTAAGAGGACGAGAACTTTAAGCTATATGATTAATCTTCTTAGTCACCAAAATTAGATAATGAAAAATCATAAAAATTAAATAGAACATGGGTAGATTTCATAGTGAACAAAAAAGATAAAAATGAGATAGAACATGGATAAATTTTATAGTGAATAGTCATCATAACATATCGATGACTACTATATTTCAAGCAGATTGAATAAAAGACAAAAATAGCATTCTTACTTTTTGGGCCTTAAATCTTTGAGAAAGATCGGTTGAGGGTGAATACCTACAAAATTGGCAAAATTTATAAAATTATTTAATTAAGACAAGATGATATTAGGTAAAAGGAGTCATGATTTTCTTCCATTAAGAAGGTCAATTCCAAGGCAATGCATAATTATTGTTCCATTAAGTGCCCTGAGTAGTAGAATAAATACAAGATCAATGACAGTAATGAAATAAAAATTATATAAAAAGAAGTTTTCAAACAAATTACATACATATGTGTCTAAGCAATCAAATACAAGCAGGGAAAAAGAGGTTGTAACATCCCGAAATTTTAGAACTCGAATTTATAAAAATAAAATAAAATAAAATATTTATAATTAAATTAAAATTTAGAATAATTTAGAGGTCCAGAGTTTGAATTTTACTAAGCAAAAGTTTAGTTTTATTTGATTTTTAACTTACCAAAGTTGACCCGGGCTTTTGTGCAATAATAAAAAATGTTGGGCCCTTTCTTGTAATTTTCCCCAAAATATTTTAGCATCAGTTTTAAAGAGAAAAACAGACTAGAAACGTAGAAAAGAAAACAAGGAAAGGAAATGAAACGCGTGAGAGAAAGAGAGAGGAAGAAGAAAGGAGAAAGAGAGGGAGTTAGGTTCGGATCTAGAAGTCTTTGCGACTGTTGCGAGCTCGGCTACACAATAGGTAAACTCCCTACTTCAATCCTCTTCCCTTTCTCTTGATTTTCTTCAATTTTTGGAAGACGATATTTTTGGATTTTGATCTCAAAGGCTTTATTCTTGTAAGCTTTTGTTTCTTTAGATCCTAGGGAGCATGTTTTGAGTTTCTATATAGTGATCTAATGTTTTGAGTGGATAATTGGAGGAAAAGAGGTGTTTTGGGCACAAAATAAACCTTGAAAAATTGGGTTTTTGCTCTTCAATGGTTTAAGCTTATTGATTTAATTATAATTTTTCTATTTGAGCCCAATAAGATTTAAATTAAGGTTTAGTTTTCATTATAAGGGCTAATAGTGAAAGTTGATGACACTAAGTGAAGGTTTTTAATTGATAAAAAATTATATAAATTAGAAATTAGCCTAATGATGGCTAATAAATGGTTTTGGTGGTTAAGTGATACTATGTGAATGTTTGGTTTAATATATGGACCATTAGGGTGGATTATGACTCATTGACCCAAGTTGTGTGGTATGAGTTATAGTCTTCATTAATGTTATTTGTCATGATAAGTGATGTGGATCACTTATATGTTGTAGGAAATTGTTGGTGGAACTTATTGAGAAGTAAGGAACAAGTCGAGCCTTATTTTGTACAAGGAGAACCCTTTTGGTATTAAAAGGTTGAGGTAACAGGGAAATTTATATTTCTTATTACTTTGTTTTAGCTATTTTTGAATAAATATTACTAATTATCATGCATTACATGTTTTAAAAGATTAAATGTGCTTTATAAGAGGTTATGGGGTATTACTTTGATTATAGTGCAAATATGTTTTCTAATTGTTTAATAACAATGTTTTTATGGAAATGAGATTTATAAATATTATACTACTTTAGAGTATTGAATGGTCAATATTCAGGAAAGATAAATAAGAGTAAAAGGCATGATCTCGGTGGGAGTTCACCAATGAGAAGGTGTAGATTTTTGATATTCAATGGCACACTGTCAATACTCAGTGTTGTCTTACGTATTGTGGGCTCGGTGCACTAAAATGGTTAGTGTATTGAGTGTTCGACACCTCTCAGTAGGAGAGGGAATCCAACATATGAAGTGTGAGGTTGAGTGCCTAGGCTAAAGTAGCCCTCACATGGAAAGTAAGTTGGGCTGGCTCTGGGAGGGAGTTAGCTTCAACTGCTTAGGATTCACGTCGAAGGGGCATAGGAGGTTCGGTGGATTAGATCATGCCTTAGATTATGTTTTGTGCCTGTGGAGGTATAAGTAGGTATAAGGTTTACCTGCGAGTTAAAGAGTGCCAGGGGTATTCTGTTGGTCATGAAAGGCCATACCGGCCTAGGTCATGCATTCATGCAT